CAGTGTCACTGGCCCTCATATGTGGGATCCGAACCGGGGCCCTCTGGCATCCCAAGCGAGTTCTTAACCATCGCGCCACTCGGCCGGCCCCTGAAATTGTATTTTTAAAGCAACTTCCCGAAACATTTATAAGGTTGATCAAATAATACGGTGAATGTTTAAGTAAAATTGTATTACAGTAAAAGACACATTGCCATTAACCCCCTCAAAATACTCCCCCTCACTTTGAACACATTTATCCCATGGTTCTTGCTACTTTCTGAAGCAGTTCTGGAAGTCCTCTTTCATGAGTGTCTTTAGTTGCACTGTCATGGCTGCCTCAATGTCCTGAATCATTTTGACTTTGGGTAAGAGCCAGAAGTCACACGGTGCCAGATCTGGTGAATAAGGTGGATGAAGACACACTGTAATGCTTTTATTTGACAGAAATTGCCGTACTAGAAACGATGTGTGACACAGAGCATTGTCATGATGGAGGATGATTTACAGCACACTTTAGAACACATCTTCTCTCAACCGTAGCTCACACTCAACTGACTGCACCAAATGAGTTGAAACTTGTCACACACTGTTAATAAGGTTCGATGCTCCACTTCCCGTATTGAAGATCTCTGCTTTCCATTGGGTGGCATTCGGCAGCAGCATTCACTGTATTTTGTGATCACAACAGAAAGGCTCCGTGTCACACATTGCTTCTGGTAAACAGCAATTTCTCTCAAATTAAAACATTACGGTGTGTCCTCATCCACCTTTTTCGTTGGATCTGGCACTGTGCGACTTTTGGCTCTTCCCCAAAGTCAAAATGACCATGAAAGGTAAACATTTTGAATCAGTTTAGGACATCGAGGCAGCCAGGACAGTGCAACTAAACAGACTCATGAAAGAGGACTTCCAGAACTGCTTGAAAGTGGCCAGAACGATGAGATAAATGTTTTCATAGCGAGCGGAAGTGTTTTGAGGAGGATTAATGGTAATGTGTCTTTTATAGTAATTTTTTTTAAACATTCACCGTATTTTTGGATCACATCTTGTAATTTAACTATCAGAAATATCAAGTCTCTTTGTACAATCATATTTCAATGATGTCTATGATTTTAAATAAATTATACAATTTCAATGGCAAGTATAACATTTGTGAACATGTTGGGAGAAGAATAACTAATTCTTGGTAAGCATACAACTTCTGCAAGTATGCTAGAAAGTAGTCTGCCAGCGTGCTGTGGGCATATTCAGTGTTTCTGTAGTGGGTCTCTTATTTCAATAAATCATGTCAGTGGAGGTTAGTTAAGAGTGCTTCTACTATATATATATTTTAAAATTATTTGCTAAATTATCTAGAGTCAAACTATGGAATCAAAGAGTAATATCATTATAAATGAGGGGCTTGACATTTAAAATAAATATACTTTAGTCATTCAGTTTAGGAGGAAGATTCTGGGAATTAATTTCATGAAACACATGGAGTTTTTATACTTCAACCTTCTTGAACTCTGTAGGTGCCAAAAGTAGACATCAAGACTCAGTAGATTAGAGCAAGACAATTTATTACTCCAGCCCAGCCCAGCAAACATCAGGAGTGTTACCATGGTAGCACCAGATTCCCTGCCCCCAAGTACGGCAGGGTAATGCTATGAGACCACGTGATGGCGGTTTTTATAGTAGGTTGTACTGCAGCTGAGGAACCCAGTTCACTTTTCTCAGGGAGCAAGCAGTCACATTGTGGTCATTTTGACCTACCTAATTGGCTTTGAGTAGCTATAGAAATGGCTCAGAGTCAGAGGACAGGTAGGTTTTCAGTTTGTCACACTGAACAAGGACATACGAGGATGTTTGGGGCTCATTGCAGGCTACCACTCCTAACAGTCTAACCCTCAAGATTAAATGCAGTGACATTCAGTGAAAGCCATGACAGCAAATGAAGTTCATTGTTGAAACTCCTGGTTCGTTAACACAAGATAGATTTAAATATTTTTCAGAGTACTTATAGATGAATATACTACAGCGAAGAACCATACCATAGGTTTTAAATACATTTTCATAATCTTTGTGAATTTATCTAATCTTTCTGCTTCACACATATTTTTGCCACTATCAGTAATACATCTTAGCAGATTCTACTTTGGGTTGTAGTGAATTAGTGTTTTCCCAATTTCTTTGAAAATATTCTCGCTTGTAATTATTTTATGCAGGCTATGCCAATTCTTCAGATACTTCAAACTCGGTATTGACTCCTTGAATACACAACGACTGAGCAGTTTTCAGACTCCTGTCAGTGTATCAAGAGCCAAGGAGAACCACTCAAAATTGTTTGCCTTGTATTTCAATTGATTGTTGATGTTGTTCCAGTTGTCCTTAACTCATTGAGCAACTGATCTCTCCATAAAACTAATAATCTTAAACTTTTATTTTTTTCTGGGCACATTTCTTCAGGTGCTGCAATTGGACATGATTTAATTAATACCAGTAAACAGATTGTCTTGCTAACAACTGAGCCATGTAGACATTTACTTTGGTTGCAGCTTCATTTTCATTTTTTATTTTTATGAAAAAATTCTATGTTGAGGTGTTACGTTTTAAATATTCAAAGTGTTCTGACTTGCTTTCCTATGAGTTGGGAATACTGTGATGAGTGCTTGATAGTCTGGTGATATCAATGCATGTTTTATTCTTTTAGCACAGCTATAATGTCACTGCATACTAAACATAATACTTTGCCATCTAATTTGATAACAAAATAATCTATGCTCCATTGTGTGTTTTTTTTTTTGAGAAGTCAAAACCGATTTTTATTTGGGTACAAGGCTGCCTGGAGTACAGATTATATTTCCCCATCTTTTATTTTATTTTATTTTATTGTTAGTTTCAGGTGTACAGAACAATGCAATAGTTTCCATTGTGTCTTAAAAGAAGGCTATTCAAAG